AGTCATATGGATCACATTAACACCACAAAAATGACTTATGCACTTGTCTTTTGAGTTCTGCCATCATTTCCTTTGGACAGACAGGAGTAGGCCAACTTGATCACAAGTTAAGTCTACTTCTAGTTCACGAGGACTCTACCTACTTCTTTCCAAAATGTGCCTATTGACTGATATTTCCATCCATAAAATGTAACAATTGTTTTTTATCTATATCCTCGCCAGCTTTTATGTTCTGATTTTTTTATAGTACTCATTCTAACTGGGGTCAGACAACATTTTATGTAATTTTGATTATTATTTCACTGGGGACTGAACACAGTGAGTACTTCAGATACTTATTGAATATTTATGTTTCTTCTTTTAAAATATCTCTAAATTCTTCTGGTTGCCAATGTTTTGACTACCTCAACTTGCCCAAAGATTTGGTTTCTAGCGTCTCTTTATCCTAAGCCCCAGAATGAGATTTAACACTAGACATGGTGACTGAGGATCTACCAGGAAGAGGAAGCCAAGCCTTGGGGAAGGTGACAGGCCTATAGAGCACAAGGAGGCCATAGCCTCTTCTGTTGAAACACTCACCAAATGCATATAAAGGTACATTCTTCTGTAGAATCTTTTACTCTTCCAAAGCATAACACCATGCTTAGGGGGTTTTCTTTTCTTCAGTAATCTTGAATAAACAACTATTATATACTGTCTGCTAATGTAGTTGTAGTACTTCCTATATGTGCTAGGCTTTGCAGTTGCTTATTCAGCCAAGATTATATTCCAAAAATACAATTATGCTATTGTCTACATAGGGGATTGAACTGAGGTTTGTAACTTGTTAGCTTCTTTGGCTTATTTATTTGTTAGCTTGTTTATTTATTGTGTTTGTTTGTGGTATTGAGAACTGAACTGAGACTCTTGTGCATGCTCAACTAGATCTCCGCCGCTGAACTATATCTAATTATTTTTAAGACAATTTTGTTAAGCTGCCCAGACTAATCATGAACTCTCTTTATGTTCCAGGCAGGCCTTGAACTTGTAATCCTCCTACTTCAACCTACCAAGAAGCTGGAATAGCAGATCTGCCCCATCAGTCCTGGCCTTTTATTTGTTTTAAAAATGGCCTTTTTGTCCAGCTTATTAAATCTAGGAAGTCAAGCATCAAAATATTTCCCAGAACCTAGGAGATGGTACTCATACATACATACATACACATGTGTGCACACTACATGCAAACTTGAACACAGACACTCAAATATTTTCAAGTTCAGATATAGTGAAGATTAGCTAAATTCAACAACTACCTTGTGAACTTGATAAAGATTATATTTTATCTCTAAGTAGGCAAACAAACACTCAGCCAAGAAAACCAGAAATTAAATAGAGGAAAGAATTTTATAAAGAAAGCAGAAAGTGTATCAGGAATGAGGGAGAGGGAGATATTACCAGAACCACCTGTGCACAAGCTCTTTCCCTCCTGGCATTTGATGTACAAATGACCTTGGGAAGACAGAAGGCAGAAGAGATAAGCTGTTCATTGCCGAAAACTCGGTGAAATAATACAGGAAATGACCTACAATGAGATGTTCTGATACATACTTTTTAATATGTGCATTCTCTCTCTCTCTCTCTCTCTCTCTCTCTCTCTCTGTGTGTGTGTGTGTGTGTGTGTGAGAGAGAGAGAGAGAGAGAGAGAGAGAGAGAGAGAGGGAGAGAGAGACAGAGACAGAGACAGAGACAGAGACAGAGAGAGAGAGACATATGTGCCTGATGCCCGTGTAGAGCATGTCAGAAACCCCGGAACTAAGTTACAGACTGTTGTAAGTCCCCAGTGGGTTCTCTTCAAGAACAACAAAGAGCTCTTAACCACTGAGAAATCTCTCCAGTTCCCATTGCCTGTATTTTAAGTATAAAATGTCATGTTTCTTTATATTACGAGAAAAGTATTTGTTCCTAAGTACAAGTAATAGACATTGCTGAAAGTTAATGATAAACAAGTTTCACATATTTTCTTGAGAGCAGGCAAGAGCAAATTTAGAGAGAAATATTCCACCTATCACAATGCCTAAGGACTTCCATCGAACTTTATCCTGTTCATACAGTGGAGAAGTAGGGATCATTCTATGTAGGTATTTTTAATATCCTTTACTATTCTTTTGCATGATCAGTACAGAGTTTACAAACCAATACATACTATTTGTATTTTGTGATCTCTGGGAATTGAGAAATCTCTCACATGTACCATCTCTTACCTTTGTGACTACATCAGACTGACTACTTGGAACAGGATAAAAACAGGGGTGTAGACGCAATAAAACAGAGCTTAAAAATAAGTAGACAAAGACTCGCAATGACTGATCTTTGCCGAAAAAGCACAGGGGCCAACTAAAAAGCTTCCAGTAGTCATATTTGAAACAACTTGAACAAAAAAATACAAAATATTGGTATTATAACCTAAAAGATAAAATAAATGCACACAATTACAAATTGATGTAAATTAATGAATAAATAAACGAAGTTTAAAAAAATCTCTCACTCAGGAAAGTTTCAGATAATTTAAATAAGTACTCCTCTGAGAAAGAGGTACATAAATCTTCATTCCTCAAATATGAACTCTCACAGAAACCTTCTGCCAAATAGTCAATAGAGAAGGGAGGGGAAAAACCAGCAGATTTATCATGGAGAAACCTGGTAAACACTAGCCCAGACAAATGGCCAAGGTCAACCTCAGCAGTGATAAATCATCCTGATAGTATGTGCCCTTGATTTGAGATCACAGCAACGACATTTCACCTCTGTGGTCATTCTCCAAGTTGCTCAAAGCCCCATGAGAAAAACACCAGGCCAACTCTAACAGATAAGCATTCCTTAGAATGCCTGCCAATACTACCTGAACTGTTAAACTTATCGAAAACAAAAGAAGCCAGAGACACTGTCACTACCAAGAAGAAACTAAAATATGGCAACTAAATACATTATGGTACCCTAAATGAGATCCAGGACAGAAAGGGGATATAATATATAACCTAAGTAAATTCCAACAAAATATGTGCTTTAGTTAATAATTATGTATCAGCACTAGTTAATTAACTTCTTAAAAATATACAACACCAATGAAATTATTGTATTAGGCGGGTGTCTCGAGAGAAGCAGAGCTACTGCAATGTATGTAACTGTATCATTAAAAGGGATCTTTAGATTACCTTACCCGATAGGCTCAGGGTAATTCAAAAATTTGCCATATGACACTCAAGCTCAGGACTTGTGCTATTTAGCCCAAAGATCCAGATATCTCAGCAGTACCAATTCAGCACTGAAAGCCTGCAAGGTCTCTGGAGAGTCGCCAGTATTGAGTCCCTTGAAGCCTGTTGTCAGTGAAGGACCAAAATAGTAGCAGCAGATGTACCTGCTCAAAAAGAACTAAGGCCAGAGCATACTCAGTGCTTTGTCCTAGGACTTTACCTGCCCTGCCCACTGCAGGATACTACCAACCTTGAAGGTAGATATTTCTCTCCCCGTTACTATCCCACAAAAAGTCTCTGGAAATAGCCCCCACAGACTCACAGGTGTGTTTTATGAGACCTTGATACCTCTTAATTCAGCCAGTTTGATCAAGACCACTGACCATAAGTCCATTCCTTGTCAACTTAACAGCCAAAGCACATCCTTTCTGTACTGGTGAATTTCTAAACAAAGTAGCCAGGTCATGAGTCTACCGAACTTGAGATAACTACTCCACAGATAGCCGAAACATACTAATTCCTTCACAGACTAGATGACAAAGGTCCCTCAAGAATGTTTACTCTTTTAGTGTCTCTTAATTTAGGTCTGATAGTACAGATTTCACAACTTAAAAAGCTGATATTTAACTTTAACTGAGTTGTTATATTGATTGGCAAAGGTATACCGGAGTAAAGAAATCACACCTATCCTTGATATATGTATATAGGCACAAACATATTCTCAATAAAACAAGAAAGAAACACAAGATTATAATTACAATCTTTGTTTCTTTAACTTCTCACATGGTCATTATGACTACCCGCCTAATATCCTTTCTCTGTTTCCTCCACCCTCACCAAGCACCTCAGCAGGCCTTGAATCTGAAAAGGTGACCCACACCTTCATTGCTGAAGGTTCTAGACCATTCGTTATCTTGCCCAGGTTGAGTTGTAGTTACCCTGTTCTTAGCTTAAGAAGAAGGTGTGTTAAAAAAAAAAAAAAACTAAAACCTGCCTTAAGTTGTCTCCTACTCTGCATACATGTTCTTTTTGATCTCCACAGAGGAATAGTGGTCAAATCCCCACTGGCACACTGGCACACTGGCACACTGGCACACTGGTACTTCTGTTGACATCTTAGCCTATTGACTCAAAGATATGAGCGGCCCAAAGGATCAGGGGTAAATCAGATTCTAGTTCAATAGACTGATTGTTGCACCTCCTGGTGGAAGGTATCTCCCTTTGGAAATCAAGATAATGTATGACCAATTTACATAATCTGGAAGCAAAGCTTTTCCCAGAGGATCAGAGGACAATGGTGAGTTGCCAGTTCCACCCTTTTATTCCTGGTCCTGTGAATCCTGAACACCAAGGGACAAATACTATATATTAAATGCTAATTACACACATACATATATACTCCTGGATAATCTTGCCCCAGTCTTCCAAACTACTGCCACCTAATCAATGCCGTATCTGTTTCTTCGAAAGGACATTCACTATTCTATCAAGCCAGCTGCTCCAAGATGGTGGAGAATATGGTAAAAAACTAGTGAATTCCATGAGCACAAGTTACTACCACACTTCTTTAGCTGTGAACTGACTTCCTTGATCAGAAGCAATGCTGCTATAGTACTATGATGGCACCACCTTGGCAATAGTTTTGAAAGTATGATGTGCAAGAAAGGCGAATCAATACTGGGAATAGGCAGCCCCACGTGTCTCCACCGCTGGTCGCACGAGTTCACCAACCCTCGGCCACTTGCCGCCTCTGGTACCACTGCGTCCAAAATGTCCACAGGTATGCCTTCAGGAAGTTCAAGTCCTGCCTCTGGCAGTAACTGCAGACTCCAGCAGACGCAAAATCAAGTAGATGAGGTGGTTGATATCATGAGAGTCAGCGTGGACAAGGTGTTAGAAAGAGATGAGAAGCTCTCGGAGCTAGATGATCGCGCAGATGGAATGCAGGCAGGCGCTTCTCAGTTTAAATCAAGTGCTGCCAAGCTGAAGAGAAAGTACTGGTGGAAGAAGTGCAAGATGTGGGCGATGGGGATCAGTGTCCTGGTGACTGTTGTCGTCATCATTGTTGTATGGTGTGTCTCTTAATGACGAACCTGGTGAAACCAAAGCCCACTGTCCAGGAGTGGTTTCAAGATTTTCTACTTAGAACCTGCTATGTTATTGAGCTTACCTACTGTTTTTTTTTTTTGTCCAAATGATTATTCTTGTTAGTTTACATACAGTTCTGTGCCTAGGAAATGTGCCTTTGTTTTAATATACACTTCAAATGGGGGTGTGAGCTGCCCTGCCCACATTTTGCACACTGCCTTCCCAGAGTTATGCACCGACTAGGAAAGAGGACTTCTGATGCTCCAGAGTGCTGGAGTCTAGGTGGATGTTGTCACTGATGACTTGTTGTGGATTCCAGGAAGGGGAGTCGTATTCAAGTCAGTTGTTCCCACATCTGACATCGTCTTCAAAACCACATTTTCAAACCTTTGGGTGATTAGATTCCCAACTTGGGCCTTCCGAGAAGAACACTACTGCCTAGTACAAATCGGTGACAAGAACAGGGTGAGCCTTATTTTGATACTGGCTCCTTTTCCTTAAGAGGACCCTCCTTTCTGTAAGCACTACTGACTCCTGCAGTATTTAAGGTGCTCTCATGTTAGGTGTGAGATGTTTACTTTTCGGTTCTTGTTGTGAATCGCTTCTCAGAGTATCTGAATCAAAAATAACCCTTTATAAAGTTTTTGTAGAACTATGACCAAAGTATTTTTGCTGAAAGTTAAATACAAATAAAACGTTCGTAAGTCTGTCCCTAATAGACAAATTCAAACAATGTGCCAAATGTGACTCAAGGTGACCTTCAAGAAAAGGTATTAATTCTGTGAGCCTTCAGCATTTTCACGGTCCTTCCTGTGCTGTAGATAATGCTACTTCTTCAGATTTGGTTTCTTTGATAGAGCTACAGAGGCGCACTAATGTCAGACCTAGAGATAAGGCATTTAGCCAACAGTTTGCAGACTGAACTAGAGGCTGCGGTCGCTAGTGCAGTGTGAGCAGCAGCTCCGCAGCCTCACGTCAGTGTGCACAGACCAGAGATCCTGAATGCTGTTTTCTGCTTTTACTCATACCCCACTTCCTAAACCGGTCCTCCGTATTATGCTTGAGGTGAGGTGTTGGCCACTTCCAAGTGGAGAGCTAAGCAAAGATGTCTGTTGCTCTTAAGCCATAGCTGTTGCCACCTGAGACACTTTTGTTGTGTGTCTGAGACTTTCATTAAGGCATGCTTCAGAGTTGAGAGTTCAGGCATGAGTGAACATAAGAAAGCAGTGAGGACGGAGCAGGCTTTCTTTGCCTATGGCAGTACCCCTAGAATGCCCTGTAATTTGTGTGTGCAAAGCGGCTTCAATCAAGACATAATAGAATCTGGTTCCAGTTTTTTCTTTGTTCCCCTGACATTACTGAAACAATATAACTATTGAAAGCATGCCCCACTAAAGGAAAGCAGCAACAGCCTAGAGCCCCTGTCCTGGTCTGACCCACAACCTTGGTGCTGTCTCCTCCATACTCAGACCCATGTAATTCATTGGCTCCTGCATTAACACAGTAATACCTCGCTTGTCTGTGCACTTAGCTGGAAACTTTTTCGCTATGATGTCCTAAATAAAGTTGTTTATTAACATGAAAAAAATTACTTTGAACAAATATCTATCCTAGTGAATAGAATGAGCTCTTCCCATTCTATTATGGATGTGGTCCAGTGTGGTCAATCTGCCACCAAGTCACTGGCTGTTCACTCCAGGGAATGATGCCATATCAGAGCTCAGTGCTGGTCTCTGTTGTGACATATCTAGTTATCATCAACATTCATACTCTGATCAATATTAGTAATTGAAAATCCATGTTGCTAATCCCATACATCACCTGCATCTTTGCCATCATGTCGTTTTGTTCATGGGCTGACTGGACAATGGCAAAGATGACTGAAGAAAGAGGTTGGCTACTATCCATATAATGGGTCAGCATGACTACTTGACTATTGAAGTCCTCCCCTGATGGGGTCAGCTTCTGATGAGCATTTAGTTGGGACACAAACATCTCCACAGGCTCTTTCTATCTGTAAATGTCCATTCATATACCTCCTTCATTAATGTCTTTCTCGCCAATTTTCCAATGAAGCTCCTTCCAAGTCGCTGACCATCGGCCAAATCATTGGCTACAGCCCGTGGATAATTATATAATCACATATCTTTTCAGTTTTTCTTCCAAGAACAATGCCCAATCATGTATATTGCCTGACATTTTACCTAATGTGCAGATTTCACTCCATGACTGTCTTTCAAGGATTTCCCTGCAAAGGGTTGCAATGTTGCTGCTGGTGGAATGGTGTGAGCATAGCATGTAGAATCATGTATAGAATCCCTATATTCTCTTCCTCAGCGCACCAACCACAAGGTACACTGCATGAGGTCAATGGTACCTGATGGTCAAGAGAAACCACTGTGACAGAAGTAGGAGCCCTAGGTGTTTGGCTCACTCCCTCGCGTAACTTCCTTGTGCCCTTAGGCCCTGCTAAGCCCTTGTCACATATACCACTTCCATTTCAAGATGAATTGCTTCTGTACATATCCAACTCATGGTTTGGTGAATCAGATAGAACCCAGACCATGAGGAAAATCTCAGACAGTGACTTGCTAGCTGTGCTAGATAGTGTTTCTCAACTGATGTATGATAAACACTTGGGAAGAGGAAGCTTCAATTGAAGAATTGCCCCCATTGGATCTGCCTATGAACACATTTTGGGGGGGGTATTTTTTTGGTTAGAGATTGTTGTGAGATGGTCCTGTCCATTGTGAGATGAGTCGCCCTTGGCCATGTGGTCCTGGGTTGTGAATGAAAGGAAACTGGGCAAGCTTTGGACAGCAAGCCAGTAAGTAGGGTTCCTCCATGGTCTCTGCTTCACTTCCTGCTTCCAGTTTCTGCTTGAGTTGCTGCTCTGACTTCCTTCAGTGATGTATTATGATGTGGAATAGTAAGCCAAATAAACCTTTTCTCCCCCACGCTGCTTTTGATCAATGTTTTCAAATCAGTAGAAAAGGAATCAAATACAGAAACTGGTATCAGAAACTGCATTTGCTGTGACGGACCTGACCATGGAAAGGTCTACATGAAGGAATGCTGAGAGAAATACAAATGCATATACACATAAAATTTAAATTTTAATTAAAAAAATTTTAAAGGATTCCTTGCATCACTGGGCACCTAGGAATTTTACTGATGCAGAAGCCCACTTGTGTACTATTAATAGACTTATTTACTGTTCTCTGAGACATAAACATTTCATCAACAAATCCAAGGACGTTCGTTCAACAGCATAATATCATTACCATAACAGACCAGTGTGAAACAGTATAAAAGAGACATGATTAATATCCCTCAGAACTAACTTATGACACAGGGTTGGAGAGTTAAAATACCCTTGAGGTGGAACAATAAAAGTATATTGCCGGCCTTGCTAGGTAAAAACAGATTGCTTCCTGCAGGACTTACAGACATAGAACAAGAAAGTATTTGCTAGATCAATAGCTGTATACCAGGTGCCAGGAAGATTTAATCTGCTGAGAAACAAGAAACAATGACAATGAACCACATCTGATACAGTGCTTGCAATAAAAACCATTACTGGATTAAGCTTACAATAATCAGCTGTCATAATTCAAGGTCAGGTGTCTGTCTGTACAGACAAAATTGGGTAACATTTGTTCCTTTTTTATCACTGTGACAAATACCTAAAAAAAAAAAAAGGAACTAAAGGTCAAAGGACTCATCTGGGCTCGCATTTCAGGGGCTCCACTCCATCACATGGAGATGGTGTGGTAATAATGGTGATAATAACTCCTAGCTGTGGCAGATGAGCGTGGGAGAGCTGTTAGAACATCCTAGAAGCATGGCCATTCGGCTGCAGTCAAAGGTCTTCTGGGCTCTGCTCCACAATGCTTGTAGAACCATGATACCTTGGGGCCAGTAAGCCAGAGCTGGCCCCTCAGCACTGCAAGGCTGTCCTGAAAGAAGTCACTTCCGGCAGATGCCCCGCATGTTCTCAGACCGGTGAACCCTTCCTGTTGACAGCAATGCTGCAGCTTCCTGGCTGTGAGCCCTGAAAAGCAGTAGGAAGGTTGAACAAATTCAGCAATGTGGCAGGATACAGAGCCAACTGCACAAAGCAATATACAAACTTTTCTATACACTAATAACACACACACACACACAGAGAGAGAGAGAGAGAGAGAGAGAGAGAGAGAGAGAGAGAGAGAGATCATGAACACATACACATTCACAATAACCTCAAATATAAATAAAATGTGTAGGAATAAGTCTAAGGAAGGAAGTGAAGGACCTTGAACTTTAAACTTCTGAAAGGGGCAGAGAAAGACCCTAGAAAGTTGAAAGACATCCCATGCTCATGGATTGGAAGAAATAAGATTATGAAAATGACTATTTTACCAAAAGTTATTTATTGATTCAGTGCAATCCCAATATCCTAAAGTTCATATGGAATCACGAAAGACCCAGCTAGCCCAAATGACCCTAAGTAAATGAATAAATAATAGAGAAAGAAAAAGAAAATTTCTGAAGAGATTACCACTCCAGGTCCTAAAATACGTTGCAAAGCCACAGTAATAAAAATAATGTGGTCCTGACACACAAAAAACAGACATGCAGACCCATATAATAAAATCAAAAATCCAAACATGAGTACATGGAACTTCAGCCATTTAATATTTTACAAAGATAACTACAAAATACACTGGCGAGAAGAAAACATCTTCAACAAATGGTTCTAGAAAAATTAGATGTCGACAGGCAAAAGAATAAAATTAGACTTATCTATCACCTCGCACAAAACTAACTCTAAATGGATCAAAGACTGAAGCATTAAACACTGAAATGTCTAGAAGAAAACACACAATATCCTACACTAATAAGACTCCATTTGCCCAAGGATCAAGGTCATCCATTGACAAGTGGATCTTCACAGAACTAAAAGGCTTCTCATAGCTAAAGAAACAACTGGGTGAGGAGGGAGCCCACAGAATGGGAGAGAATCTTTTCCAGCCACACATCTGACAGAGCAATAATATCTATAACATTAAAGAACTCAAACAGTGGTCAAAAATGACCCACTCAAAAAATGGACCTGGAATCTGAACAGAGAGTTCTCAAAAGAAGTAAATATAATGTGGCTAAATTGAGACACAGGTCATGTTTCCATCACAGCAGATATATGCCAGTGGGAACAAAGAGAACTGTAACATTTGCCAAAAAAAAAGTAAATATATGTGTGTGCATACCAAAAATTAATGGAAAAAAAAGGCCATAAACTTGAAAGAGAGTAAGGAGGGGTATATAGGAGGTGGGAGGATTTGAAAGTAGAAAAGAGGAGGAAATGATATTGAGAAATAAAAAGGGGGAGTGGAGATTCAGTTGGCTTTGTCCTTTTCCAATTTTTATTTAGTCTGAGACTCAAGCCAATGAGATGCTGGTTACATTGAGAGGCAGTCATCTCTCAGTTAACCTTCTCCGGAAACATCACAACAGACAAATCCTAGGTGCGACCCACTAATACCTAAGTGTTTCTTAGTCTAGTCAAGTTGATAATCAAAACTAACCATCACAGCCTCACGCCTGATACCAAATGTGCCATTTTATCTCTCACTATTTACCCCTGGCCTTACAAAAGTTTGTGTCCCTCTCACAATGCAATGTGAATTCATTCCCTCTCTTTGTGTCCGCAAAATCCTTAACAGTTCCAATAGTGTTCTAAAGTTCAAAGTTCAAAGTGTTTCATATAAGTCTTAGCTGTGAACTACTATAAAACCAAAATATAAACTTCCAGTATTTGATGGTGAAGAGGAAACATTCCCATTACAAAAAATAAATGAAGCATAACAAGAAAATAGAACTGAATCAAGACAAACCCTCAGCAGAACAAACATCAAATACCACCGAAATGCATCTGTCATTTGTGGACATGGCTTAGGTAGCCACAACTTTCCAACTCAATAGCCTGCAGCAAAGGCAGCCTCTTTCTTGGGCTAGTACTACTCTGCTTGTCGCCTGAAGCTTGCTTTGGTGAACTTAGCATATTGTAACAATCCCTAGAGCGTGGGCACCCCATTCTGACTTGGAATTTCACAGAGAGCTCAGGCATGGGTTTCAAGCCAGGTATGTGTCCCTGCTATATGTTACCCGGCCTCTGAAGCTTTCAGGAACATCGTTGACAACTTTATAATCCTTCAGCTTTGCATCTTCAATACTTGCAAAATTGGCAAAATTTGATGATGTCAACAAGTTCTGTAGGCATCTTGAGTTGAAGCCTACCACACTTAACCCATAGCTTCAGTGTGGTGTGTGTGTGTGTGTGTGTGTGTGTGTGTGTGTGTGTGTACTTTTGTGTGCATGAGAGCACTTTAAGTAGCTATGCTTTGGCAAGATTCCCTGAAAACTTTGTTTTCTCAGGCATTTAGTCTGAAGTGAATTTGCATTGTTACAGATGGAATATGGTTAATGGATGGGATCTTATCTACAAGCAGTTTTTCCTGTTGTGTTATTGCAAAGTCCTAGTTTCTCTTGAATGGTGCCAATCTCAGAAATTACAGAGACTTTGTCCATACCTGTTTTAGCACTCTGTCCATAATTTTTACTGTATTCATACTCCTTTCCTCAACAAACTGAACATTTTCATATCTATCTATTCCTTTCCTGTTCTGAATCTTTCTACAAATTTCACTAAATGCATTAATCAATAACAATATCACATCTTAAATGCTATGATGCCTTGAAATTCCCTCCGTCAAACAAATTAGTCTACCATTTTTTAGTAAAACCTTGTATGGATTTTCAGGAACTGGGTGAAATATAGCCAGAGTCTTTGATAGAATATAGAGTTAATGGCCTCTGTCCCAGTTCACGATAGAGTCTTTGTTCCTCTCCGAACAGTTTTCATTACTGCATTTCTATACATATTATGGTCGTCCAACACATCATCAGATTCACCAATTACCTTCTAAGACTTCTCTAGCCCGTCGTTCCAAATTTTTCTGCATTCCCTCTGCAAACCTGTAAAATAGTTCCCAAAGCTTACAAACCACATGGATATAAAACCCTACTCCTCGTACAAATTTCCTATATTAGCTGGCTTTCTTTTTCCTATGACCACTCAATAATAAGAATCGATTTAAGGAAGGGAGGATCTCCTTTTGTCCATGGTGTGAGGGTATAATCCCTCACTGCAGAGACAATATAGAAACTGAAACAGGAAGAGTGCATAACTGCTTATCCACATCTTTACGGATCTGGAAGCACAGATGGGATGAGAAGTGGGGTTGGGCTATAAGCTTCAACCTCTATTGCATGAATCTACCTTTTCTGGTTTAGCCCCACCTCCCAAATTTTCTGCAGCCTACCAAAAGGATGCTACCATGTGAGGACCAACTGTCTAAACACTGTGACCCTGTTGAATATATTTCATATTCAAATGATAACATATGTTAATAATAATAATTAAGTACAAATTTATTAGAATCCCATACATTATCTTTTAATATTTTTTGAGCCAATTTGTTCTTTAGAATAATCTTTTTAGAAAAACCAGGAGATACTTAAGAGAGATATTTGAGGAAATAACAATTTGTATACATCTTAAAATTTAAGGATAGTATTTTTTTTTCTAAATGGCTTATTAGGAAAATTTCTAAACTTTGAAAAAAATAAAGAATTGGAGTTTTGTTGCTGTCATTTTGTTTATTTACTTTGCTTGGGGTTGGTTTGTTTGTTTGTTGCCACAGGGTCTCACTATATAACTCTTCCTGGCTTGGCTTCACTATGTAGACCAGGCTGGCCTTGAATTCATAAGGATCCTCTTGCCTCTGTCTCCCAAGTGCGTGTTCCACCACCACCTGGCTATAAATCAAGCAAGTTTTATATGAATTAAAAAAAAATCAAGTTGTTGATGTTTTTGTTTTGAATCTCAAACAAAGTAAAAAAGGCAGAGGGGATAAACTCAAAGTAAAGCAACAATTATAAACTCATGCTGTTTTGTAGAAGAGAAGGAAAATAGAAGTAAGAGCTAGAAGAGAGGAAGACGAGAAAGGGCTACAGAATACCATCTTCTCTGTATGATGCTATGGTTCCAATCAAGAACTCAATGAACTCTCCTTGCCTACAATAAGCCTGAACAAGAGTGGACCTGTCAATAGCCAACCCTGGAAGGGGGGAAGAGCACAAAGACCCTATCTTTCCGCACTGAAATAGTGGCCACTGGATTCTGGGAACTGGGAATCACTGCTGTCAGCTGTCCAACACTGGTGAGCCCTCCAGGCTTTAATGTCTGTTACTGTAAACCTCATCAAGAGATGGTGGCTGCACAGACCTTTGTTGGACACCCACTACTGTCGTTTTGCTAAAAGGACATGTGATCAAACTGTCATGTTTATATCCAAAGATTAGTGCTTCTCTTGGCTTTTGTCAGAAACTTTTTGTTGTAGTGTATACTGGTTAATCCAGATATTCATAACCAATCAAAGTTAGAGCAAAGGACAATGGAATCCTCAGTACTAACCGAATCATCTATATCAGCCTCTCCAACCCTCAGGGGGGCATCAAGTAAGAAGGAGTAGAAAGAAGGGGAAGGCCACAGGCTGGAGAAGCATATTGTGAAAAGATTCATACATTCACTACAGTGTGGTCACCAGCACTGGACCTGTACAAGATCGGGCCTGCCAACATTTCATCATGAAAGAGGGAACGATTCACAAGGCCCCACCTCTCCCTGAGGGACTACTGAAGGTTACGGTTGAAGGCATATGGGGGGGAAGCATACCGCTCTCTTCTGTGCTACCTACACTGGTAAGTTGCTCATGCTCTAGTCAATAACCTCCATACATGTTTGTGCCAGCAACAACAACTGAACTCAGTAGGACACGCACACACACACACACACACACACACACACACACACACACGAAAGCAGGAGGGGACTTGGTGAGAAGGAGGAGGGTTTCAGAGAAAGAAAGGAATGAGACAAGGAAATGAGGACTGAGTTTAACCTAAGTTCATTACATGCGTGTGGTACTGTGTGCGTGTACATTTATACATTTATATGAAATTGTCAAAAAGCAAAAAGTTTTAGATACAAATTAATAAAAAATGAATGAGCTAGGCAGTAGTAGTAAATACCTTTAATCTCAGCACTCAGGAGGCAGAAGTGGGCAGAGCTCTGTGAGTTTGAGGCCAGCCTGGTCTACAGAGTGAGTTCCAAGACAGGCTCCAAAGCTACAGAGAATCCAGTCTCGAAAAACCAAACCAAAATAAAACAAAAAAAAAATCAAAAAACAAAACAAATAAACGATTTAAATTTAAATTTAGAAATATTATACCAGTGATATATATGGAATTTTATATACATACATATACATCTGGTTCTGCACAATAGAGTAAATAGGTTCAGAAGGCAATGTTAGTGAGCAACAAACATGTATGGCTAACGTATGCCTATGAGAGCCTCTAAAATGCTATTAACATGTGACTCTAACATCCTATCCTAAGGATTTATAATCTATTTGTGTAAAAGGCCAGAAAGTAAATATTTTAGTTTTGTGAAGCTGTAGAGGCTCCATTGAAGCCACCCATTTAGCTGAATTTGCAAATATGCTAGTGTTGCTGTATTCCAAAAAGACAGGCAAGAGGCCAAGTATGGCCACTGAGCCGTATGCTCAGTCTCTGAATAGAGCAACCCAAGCCAAAGAAAATGAAGAAAACAAAATTAATTACACAGACTGTGTGATCTTAACTACACAGAAGTGTTGTAGGAAAATTCTAGCGAGAACAGAATTAAACAGCAGTGTCTTTTCATTCAGGTAGAACGAGGACTTTCTTAGCCCGCATTTTCCCACACTTGCACTTTTGAATGTATTAAAAATTAGGAGGCAGTCACAGCTACCTGGGAGGCAGAGACCAGGAGTTCAGGATCAGCAGGGACAACAAAAAAAAAGAAAGCCCTGTCAATAAAAGCAATAAGACAAAGACTGTAAAAGGGAAAGAAGAGAGGAAGCAGGGAGGGAGGAATGCACAAGGAGTAGAAGGGGAAAGAAATATCTGGGCTATTGTGAGGAAGCCAGAGATTCCCAGGCCGACTTAAGGTTTGAAAATACTCTTTTTTTGTCGTATTTATGTAAATTCAGGAAAAGGCTTGTTAACTCCTTTCCTTTCTCATTTTTTAAAAAAATGGGCATATTTTAACATCCAGAAGCAGCATTT